TCAGTCAAGGCTATCTTTCCCCTCAAGTTGCCAGCAGCCACAGAGGTGGGTGCAAAGCCTTCCCAACAGGAGCCTTGCAGTCTTGCAAGTCCTAACACCTTCAGGGGTAGGCACTTCTCTCACATTGCATCTCTGTCCTCACCATTTGTGAGCTCTTGGAAGACAAGTGCCACGTCTGTTTTGTTTGTTATTACCCAGTGGCTAGCACCAAACATGTGCTCAAAAATACTGGTGAAGTGCATGGGTGATGGGACCAGCATTCCATGCTTTCCTTTTTTAAACAAATATTTGATCACCCTTGGTCTTAAGTTATGGCATGTAAACTTTAGCAGCATGTGGGATCTAGTTCCCTGACCAAGGAGCAAACCCGGGGCCCCCTGCCTTGGGAGCATGGAGTCTTAGCCACTGGACAACCAGGGAAGTCCCCATTCTGTGCTTCCTATTCAATAAATAGAGGGTGTCTATCTTCCCTTCTGTTTCCAAAGGAACACTTCTGTAAGTTTCTGATTACTGTAGAGGTTGCCAGCTTGAGTCTTTCCTGGGCACTTTGGTAGACAAACCACACACTTTCTAGCCCCTTTGGGTAGGTGGGGTTGGTTGTATGACCAGGTCTAGCCCAGGAAGCAAGACTGGAAGTGTGTGCTACTTCCTGGATGAGATATTTGAGTGGGTAGACCACCTCCAAGCTCTCAGCAATGACTCCAGGATTCATGGGTTGAGATGGCAGCAACATCAGATGGAGGAGCTAGGATTCCTGAACCACTAGATGGAAAAGCATTTCCACTGACCCTCACTGGAAATTTGTGTTAAGAACTAACTTAACTAACTAGCTCTATAGAGCTAAGCAGTTGTCTTGTTACAGGTCCTACCATGATTAATTTATCAGTATATTCCACTTCTCTACATAAAACTGAGTGGGAGTATGGATTAGGCATGACTTTAATAAAAACAATGTTCATTAAATATTTGATGGAGGCCACGAATGGGCTTCCCTCATAGCTCAGTTGGTAAAGAATCTGCCTGCAATGCAGGAAACCCTGGGTTGATTCCTAGGTCAGGAAGATCCCCAGGAGAAGGGATAGGCTACCCACTCCAGTATTCCTGGGCTTCCCTTGTGGCTCAGCTGATAAAAAATCCGCCTGCAATGTGGGAGCCTGGGTTTGATCCCTGGGTTGGGAAGATCCCCTGGAGAAGGGAAAGGCTACCCACTTCAGTATTCTGGCCTGGAGAATTCCATGGACTATACAGTCTGTGGGGTCGCAAAGAGTCCGATGCTACTTTCACTTTCACAAAAGGAATAGCAATGTTTTACAATGAACAAGTCCATTACATCACTTTCTCTCCTGTAGGAAAACACACAGAAGAAAGTTCTTTACCTGAAATCCTAGAAAAGGTTGAAAGTTTCTTGAACATTCAATAATAAGTTACTAAAACAGTACTTCTGGATTAGGCTTTTATGCCATGCCTCCCAGGAAGCCCAGAGCCAAGTACGTAGCATATGTATGGTTTCATGGAGTGCATTTTTGCCAATTCTCTACTATGGTTTTGCTATTCAGTCATTTCCCCAGTGGCTCTTGGTTTACCTAACTTTGTTTTCTCTAATTGGGTTTTATGCACTCTTGCAAGTCTCCTAAAATCTTTCCTTTGCGAAGATGATAAAGAAGGAAGGGTGAAAATCAAATGTTTACAATGGGCTCTGGATGTAAGCCATTCTTAACACTGATGAAGGCAGACCGTGTACAACAGCTTTGAGACTAGAAATCAGTGCTGTTGATTTTAATTTACTCTTCTAGGTTTCATGACTATTAATTTTCCCTTTGATTTATAACAGGGTCGCTCAAAGAATAAGTTAATGATGATAATTACTGGTGCGGGGTGCACAGTAAGTTTGTGGTAATGGTTGTGACTTGCAGTTAGATGAAGACAACTGTGCTCACAGGTTCAGGGTCCCCAGATGATGTTCAGTCCCTGGCATTTCCTCCTTCTGAAGGTTGATACACCACTTTGATTCACACTGGCTTTTTTTGGCCATACCGTGCAGTTTGTGGGCTCTTAGCTCCCCAATCAGGGATTAAATTCATGCGCCCACGCCCCCTGCATTGGGAGCTTGGAGTCCTCATCACTGGACTGCCAGGGAAGTCCTGGATTCCCATTTTTGACAGAAAACATTCCCTTCATAAAATTCCCCCCGTTGGTTATAAATATCTGATGCAGAAATGTTAACATTTAAAAACCCCAGCTCATACCTCACCTTAAAGTCACCTTTGCTTTTCATAATGGTTTAGATTCAATGGCTTGAAATAGCTTTCATGCACATCTATTGAAAAGGCAATGCTATATAATTTCTACATTTCATGTGTGTAGTCATATCTGTAAATGATTTACAACAGATGCACATAGACACATGTGAAAAAAATTCTTTATTAATTTCTCACATTTCATTACAAAATGTATGTTGCAAACAACTTGAATAACCTACTTGTGTGTTTTCTGTTGTTTTTTTTAAACCCTTGGCTTCAAGAACTCAGGATCTCCCTATCTTTTATCAAGTTTTGGGAAACACTGATTATTGGAGTCAATAGGTTATCATTTTCCTATTTATTTTCTTCTCTCAAGCTCTGAAAAAAAAATGTCCTCTGTATAAATTAAACAAAAAAAAGTTGTAAATTCTATGTCATTACAGTCAACAGAATTATAATAATGCATCCAAAATGTGCGGCCACAAAATATCAGGTATATGTTTGAAAAAAGAAAAAAAATGACATTCTAGCCTTGTTAAAAGGATAATGGTCCCATATTTTTATTAACAGGTTAGCAAAACAAAATCCAATGGATTACAATATTTACATGTTATTTGAAAAATAAAGTAGTGATAAAAGCATGTCACAATTATTTTCTTTTTTTCCTTTTTTCTTTCCTTTTTTCTTCTTTTTTTTTCTTTTTCTTTTTTGGTAACCATTACAAACACCCAATCCAGGTATGGAACTGTTTAGCACATTTGAAATGAGGCCAATTAAAAACAAATATGGACACAAAATGAATCTTTTGTCTAGATAGTTCACACTTTCCCCATATTCTGGTTTCCACATGATGACCCCCATCCCTAAAAAAAAACTTAAATTAAAACAAACACCCACAAATAAAAATTCTTAACAGCAAGAAAATAAAAGAAGAACATGCTTTTCAAGTAAGCACTTATTCCACAAATGCAATATCTTTCCATGGATTTTATTTGAAGCTGTGTGGGACACTGTCATCTCAGCAATTCCCTTCCCTTTCTCCCCCCTCCCCCAACCCTTCCAAGTAAAAAACAAAACAAAACAAAACAAAAAAAACAAAACATGAAAACCAAAGGACTCGCGCACACACACACACATCCACACACACATCCAAGCTCTCTCACACACAGGCTTCTAAAACCTAGGATTCAAGGAAAGTTCTACTTTTTTGGAACGAAACCCTTTGTTCACAATCAGAACGTATTATAAATGTAGACTTAGATTTCGTCTAAGCTGCTCCCTCCTGAAAAAGCTAATATGGGGAAACAGAGCAGCTGGCAGCTAGATTAAAAAAAAAAAAAAGTAGTTCTCCAGGCTCCTTGTAGGATATAAGTATTTCTTGAACACTCTCACCAAAGGGATGGGATTTGAGCACATCCCTTTGTCCCAAAAAATAAATGAGAATTCCCCCCCGCAAAAAAAACCCCACAATGCAAACAAAATCAGAACACAGATTTAGAAATCACACACAAAAGCCAGCCCATCCTAACAGAGATTATTTGTGTGAGACGGATAATGTGTAAATTTGACAGCAACAAAAGGGTGAAGAGGACTTCCTCATCTGGCCCACAAGCTGCATAGAGGTGCCGAAAAGTTTGGTTCTTTAGTTAAATTAAAAAAAACGTTAACTTCTTTGTTATTTCCATGGTTAAAATAAAAACATTCCTATTCACAAAAAACTAAATCTCCCTTGCCCCCAAATCAAAACAACAATAACAACACACACACAAAAAACAATTTATATGAAAAACTGAATTGTGCTGTGTTTGTAACACTCAAACTGATAGAAAATAAACATGTGGCAAACAAAACTCCAAAGTCACCTTAAAATTAGCTCACATGAAATCTACCAAATTCTAAATTATAGTTGAACACTAATAAACAGCTTACCTGGAATAAAGGATGACAATTCACAAACATTTATCTAATAATTAAAGTCTGTTTCTTTTTTTTTGTCTTGTTTTTTACTAAAATAATTAAAAAAATCACAGTATTTTAAGAAATAAAACCCACGTGGGGATTTTAAGCACAATTTGTGTTCCTTTCTTTAAAACTCTTTTTTTTTTCTCCATTCACCATCTTGCCCAGCAGTTCTCTCTACATTTAACCACAATGACGACAGGTAGTACTGACAAATGCAGAGAATTCCCTTGGTTAAGTTTGAGGTACTAGGAAACAGGTGACTGTTTTATGCAAAGCAGTTTTTTTTTGTTTTGTTTTTTGTTTGTTTGTTTTTTTGTTTTTTTTTTTCTGTTTGTTTTTTCCCAAAGCGGCTGCAGTTAGGTCTTGAAAAAGCTTAAGGTATTAAAACTAGAAAAACGCACCAAAAGTTGTGCGTCAAAAAGTTGTTCCCCTAAGAGAAGTCTTCTACTGTCACGGAGCTTCTCTTTCCACATACGGTCCAAGACCACCACAGTGCACAGATGTGCAAGGGAGGTGCTTCCGTTGCTTCCGCAACAAACGAAACTTCCACGATGAAGATCCGGAAGGAAAGACGTAGTGATGGAAAAGGAGCCACATATTCCAACCATTTAAATAACTTTAATTTACATACTCACTCACACAGGTACCAGTGCTTTGAAAATAGATTGTTCAGTCCTAAAAAGCAGCTTTGTTCTGTCTTCTTTTTTCTGTCCCCCCCTTCTCAGCCCAAGCTGGCCCTCCCACTTTTCTTTTTCATCACGGTTCAAGTAAGGGGTGATTAAGAATTTCACCAAACGCTTATTCTTTTTTGGCCTCCGCATTCTCCAGGAGAGATTTGTCAGCAGCTACGACACAGATGGCTACTGGTTCGTTCTTTAGGGAAAAGTCTAGCCCGATTGCTTCATCATCTTCCTTTTCCTCTATAGAGGGCATCTTAATACTGTCCTCCATGTTACCCTTCAGGTGGATTTCTTCTCGGCTCACCTGCTTGGTGTCATTCAATGCCCTGGGAACACATTCATGGGAATGACAGGTGAGCATATGTATTTTTCTCTAGTTAAAAAAAAATTCACCTCCTTATGTCTCTGATCCTAAAAAGGTCTTGGGGGTCTTATAAGTGCCATAGACATATTATTGACTGGACTGTGAGTGATTTATCCCTGCTACCTGTTATACTTAGCTCATATATTTCTGGTATCTTATTAAAAATCTGAACCCATGAAAATGAAAAGAAAGTGAAAACGTTGGTTGCTTAGTTGTGTCTGACTCTCTGCGACCTCGTGGACTGTAGCTTGCCAGGCTCCTCTGTCCATGGGATTCTCTAGGCAAGACTACTGGAGTGGGGAGCCATTTCCTTCTCCAGGGGATGTTCTCAACCCAGGGATCAAACCTGGGTCTCCTGCATTGCAGATGGAGGATTCTTTCACATCTGAGCCAGCAGGGAAGCCCTATCCATTATTATATTATGTTTTGATTATGTCATTCTTTGCTTCTAGAGCAACAAAATCATCTTATGTTCCCTCCTATACTGGGAACAATACAGTCATAAGTGGTCATAGCAAGAACTGTCTTATGCTCAGATCCATCAGAGGAACCTAGGAAATGCAGACTTGCTATACCTATCAGGACTAAAAGTGCAACTCGGGTATTAAAGAGTTAACGGACAGACCCACAGACAAATCATAGAAATGAACAAAAAGCAAGAACCTGAAGATGAGACCCATGTCTCATCCTAGTTATATGCTGGGAAGCTTAGTTACATTCTCTGAGGTTTAGATACTACCTATTTTCTGGGCATTTTCTGCTTAAGGGACCAGCTCCTAGGCTATCCCAGCGTCTGCCGGGCTGTAAGTGCCTTGTCTAGGGGACACTGTTGTGTTCAAGGGTCTTACGAGTGTTCTGCAGGCGTGCTCCTACCTACCTGGGAGGCAGGCAGAAGCGGGCTCTGTCCCCGAGGCAGAGCATTGAAGGCACCAAGAGGTGCGTGGGAAGGTTCAAGGCCACTCGGGGAGTGAGTCATCACAGAGGCAGGAACAGAAGCCAGATCTCTGGACCCCGGTCCACGCTCTACAGAGAACGTCATGCTAACGAAAGCTGAAGGGACACGGGCTGGAGAGAGCACTCTACTTCTACACGAGGGCTTGAGCGGGATCTGTCATTCGTAAAGACGATCTCTCCTCCTGTGACTCGTGTCTGGGTGACCATTTTAGAAACCAGCGGAAAGGGAGAAACCCAGTTCGTGACAAACTGCCTCTCCTCCCGGACCCGGGAGTGTGACACAGAGGGGTCTACGTATTGTCAGGAGCCACCGCCACCTCGCACGATGAGCGAAGGCCTTCACGGGACTTACATGCCGTGTCTCAGCACGTGCCTTTCCCACTCAGAGCCCTGGGAAAACGCCCGTCCGCAAAATTCACACGGAAAACGCTTCTCAGTGTTGATAGCAGCCCCACGGTCAGAAAATCTCAAGAGATCTGTGAGGAGAAAGCAGGCGTGTTACCTGTGAGCTGGAGGGACAGAAGACAAGTCAATATTCATTAGGAGCCTCCTCTCATTTCCAGATTCCTTACTCTTTCTCCTGCTGGCCTTCACCAAAGGACTGTTTCTTGAAACTCTGGAGAACTGTTCCCAGGCCCTAGGCATCCCCACTTCTCTTCACCTCCCAACTGTTTCTGTCACAAATAACCCGAGTTTGTCTTAAGAACCCCTTCTGTTCATTCCAATGGCGTCTGAGCATTTTTTTCTATCAAATCTCTTCCACCTGTGGTGTTCCTCTCTATCGGTGCCTCATAGTTTAGCACCTCTTCATTTCCTATTTAACACAGTTTTTCTCCACTCACTAATAAGAACACAGGCTTCTGAAAGCACCAAGGCCAGGTTATGTTGTAGGAAGACCTAAAGGTTTCCACACATTCCAGGGAAAGCCGAGGGCTCACAATCTGTGGTCCTCTGCCATGGATATCTTAATTGACACCTCCCAGGGTGGCTGCGAGCACGGAATGAGACCCAAAAAGCAGAGAACCGAGCAGGAACACGAATCCCGGACGACGGGGAGACGGGAACGTGAAAGCATGTCCTTAGCTAGTCTGGGGTTCTGGCCGGCTGCCCTCCATCGGTGTATTCTTGAACATGGGGATGTGCAGACGCCTTTCTGGACAGGTCTGTTGTAATCAAGTGCTGACTATCGTTTTACTTCCTCCACGGCCCTGGGAGCATGTGAGGGGCCTGCTAAATGGAGACTGACTGGCTAATTGTTCGGAGGCCACGCCTCCTGGCAAACTCAAAGACGAGAGCTTATATGGCCTTTGTGTTATCCTGGGTCCCAAGCCCATATGTCTTTCATTATAGCACAGAGGGCCAGATCTTCACGTGGGTAATAAACAGCAGGACCTAGACGGGTTTGCAGCCACGCTGAAGGGTGAGGACAGCACACAGACAAACACTGATCATCTCAGCCCCTCTGATCACTGTGTGCCTGGACTCACGAGATGTTACAGGAAGATGTCTCCTGGTTGAAATACTCCATCTGATAAAAAAAAAAATCCTCAGGATGATGTTAACAGGCTAGGTGTCTCTGAGCTGCCTTCATCTGCAGCACAAAAAGCACTGTGAATGGGGCCAGTTCTAACAAAAGATGAAACATTTTCTCACAAATTAAGAAGATCACCACACAAGCCATTAAAAATAATTGCACAGACTATCTTCCTTGATTCTTTTCATTGGAAATGAGACAGCACCATCTGCTCTGCGCATTAATTCCTTAGCAGGGATTATCTTGGGCAAGAAATCAACAGAATGCCTTCCTGACTCCTCCCAACTGCATAATGAGAGGGGGTGGGGAGGACACTGCTTGGGCGCATTTTGATTGCTTCATGCCTGGTTTCCTCCCTTTCAAAGTCCCTCCGAGCTGCCTTCTGAGGCGGGACCTGCCGGGTGGCCATGGTCAGCTTCTCATGTTGGGAAGGCACATTGGGAACGGGGTAGCTCCAAGGACGTGAGCCCCCCGAATGAAGCGCCTGACGAGGGTCTCTGCTGCCAACAAGGGGGCCTGCTCCTGGCACACTCACTTGCTTACCCCGAGGAAACATGAAACCAACCATCTATTCTTTCCAACGGCTCATGCTGTTTCATCCTCAAAGGAGGAGGCCAATCATTACCTGTCACACATCAAATGGCTTCCATTAGCCCCAGAGCTGTGCTAACGCCACCTCCCGCTCTCTCTACTCCTGGAAGACAGAACGTCTGGCAAAAACACCCTGAGGCTACTGTGTGCTGTTTCTTCTTGTTGGCAAGAATACACCTAGATGGTGGAAAATTGATTCCAAGGCGATGAGACAAAGGAGGCTGTTCTTTCAAGAATCGACGAGGGGGACAGGAAGGTTTTCCCCATTAACATGACTGGAAGTTACTCAAGTAAATCCCCCGCCCTCTGAGAGAGGAACACAGGCTTCTCCACCCCCAAGTCTTTTCTCCCCATGCGGTTAAGGCTCATGAATGTGGAAGCTGCGCTTTCTAGGGAGAAGCGATCAGACACCGTGAAGTTCTTCTCAGGCAAACTGAGCTGGCCTGATGCCACAGTGCCCGTGCGAGGGGGTGGCTGGGCTGGGCGGTCAAGGAAACGTGGCTGGCGCCTTGCACATCTATCCGCCCTCTCTTCCTTCTCATCGTCTGTGCTGTTATTTTGGAGGTAGCACGGGGAGGGGAGGACTAACAGGGTTTCTTGCCTCTGCAATGCTTATAACCTGTGAAACCATGTATGCTTGGTTCTAGAGATTTAAAAGTCATGGTCTCCAACGAGGGATAATTCATTTCCTGGGAGGAATGGTAGGGCACAGAGCCCGTGAAGACAAGGGGCCTGTGTGCCCACATGGATCCTCTTTGAGAGAACTCTGGTAACAGTGCACAGACGACGTTCAAGAATTCATCGCTAAGGACACAGTTGTGAAATGCTTTTTAAGAAAGAAGGAAGAGAAAACTGAAAACTCATGCTTCTTGAATCACAGCCGTTGTAATAAATAGATCACTCTGCCCCCTACTAATAAAAGTCGTAACTTTACAAGGGCAATCAGTCTACATGGTGTGGATGCTCTATTCATCCACTGACCACAGGCACGGGGGTTCAGAAGCCAAGCTGGATCATCACTTAGCTGTGGTCTCCTGCTATAGTAGAGATAAAGAACAGAAGGATGGGGTGGAAGTCAGGAAAAATCAAGAAAAAGAGGGAGAACCTTGAAAGAAAATAACCACCAAGTTGGCTTTCTGGGCTGGCAGACTGATTAAGCAAGAAAACCCAAGAAATTCCACAAAAGGACGCCTTACAATGAGGCCCCAAAGACCACTGAATTGACAGAATTCAGGGCCAGGTTCCCATCAACGAAGAACATCCACAAAGGGTAGGGGAAGTGGTACAGTATGTAAAGACGTTTTGCCTTTGGAGCCAGAAGACTTAAACCAAACCTCCAGTGTTTTCATTTTAACTTTGAACACACTCTTAAATATTCTGGGCTTTTATTTCCCTACTTGTAAAATGCCAATAATGCCATCTACACTGCAGGGTTTTATCATTATTATTAAGTGGTTACTGTGCTCCAGGAACTGGACTAATAATGTTTGTGTGCTATCTCATTTAAGATTTACGCGACCCTAAGGAAGTCACCCTAGGAAGTTGTTATTATTAGAATGATGAGTGCTCAGGAGATAAAATAATTTACCCGAAGTCATATAACTAAAAAGCAGCAGAAAGGGGAGCCAAATCCATAGAGACCAACTGCAAAGCCCTCTAACAGTATAGAAGATTAAATAAAAACCAGCTGACACTGGGCTTGGCCCATAATGATGTTCCCCAATGGCAACTAATACCATTCTCCTCACCAATGGGGTGACATCATACTTATTTCTCAGGTTTAGGTTATCCATGTGCTTTTGATAAGTCTGCCAATAACTACAGTAAGATATCCCAACCTATATTCTTACGTAGCATGTTGGGTTTTCCACAATATTCTATGTCAAACAATACAGAATACCAGCTCTAGATCATGTAAATGTAGGTCTACAACTAAATATACTTCAAAAAACTTCATTTTGAAAATAATTATGGAATCACAGAAAGTTGAAAAATAGTACAAAAGTCCCTCAAAACTTTGCCTACTATCCCCTGTAAAGACAGTCAAATGCCACTGGTCTCCTTCTCTCTCTCTCTCTTTACAAAGCAAAAACAGTAACCCAGGGGTTTAAGAGGAGGGTCATGCAGAAGGACACATGAAGGGGTTCGGACCTCAGGCTTAAGCCCTCTGTGGCTCCCTCCCCCCATCCCCAGCAAAATACACCCCAGCAGCAGCAATTTTAAATAAGCATTCAACTGGAAATTCATTTACATTCCTCGATAGCTTTTACAGGGCCATCCATCTTGCTGTCTATCCTTACTCTGCAGATTCCCCAGATAACAGTTTTCCTGAATAAAAACAAATCATCGCCATGTATTTTTTAACAAATGTATATCTACAGTTAAAGAGAAAACGTCTGTTTTCCTTGGAGTTTCTCTAGCTGGTAATAGTTTACAAAGACATGGCCCCTGACGTGTTGCAGCCAGTCTGTTCTGCTACTTAACGAAGAAGGATCATTCCTTCTGTTCCTCCTCCAACAACCTTCTGCCTCCCTTCTGTCTCCCCACGGCCAGGCTGGATGCCATCTGGGGCTCAGGGGGCAGGGACGGGACCAACCTCTGTCATCAGCCTTACTGTTCATTTCTTCTTCCTTGTCTTCATCATCACTGCTGGAACTCTCCATCTTCTCCTTCATCTGTTCCAGCTGATCCAAGTTAACCCGTCCAACTAGCTCAAAGTTTCGGCTTACCTGAAAAAGACCCAAACACACACTGGGATCACAAACCACAACTGAATGCCATTCTCCCTGAATGACAGAGCTGTCCAATGTCACTTTCCTATGGGTGTGTTTTTAGAACCAGGACCAAATTACACCAGTGCCTAAGTGGTCCTTTTCTTCATTTTGACCCTCTTATAGGCACATCTGTCTTCTGCTCCCACATTCATTTTCACTGGAACTCTCAACACTGGACCTTCCTTACCAAATTTAGTTAGAAATGTTAGCTGTAGTTAGCAGAAAATCAAGTCTCATGAGGCCAGGGGTGTAGAGTAGATGTCCAATAAACATTTTTCGAGTTAAATTCAAGGGTTTACCTTTCATGTGTGTGTGTGCGTTAGTAACTCAGTCCTGTCCGACTCTTTGTGACCCCATGGACTGTAGCCTGCCAGGCTCCTCTATCCATGGAATTCTCCAGGTCAAAATACTGGAGTGGGTTGCCATTTCCTCCCCCAGGAGATCTTCCTGACCCAGGGATTGAACCCATGTCTCCTGCATTGGCAGGCAGATTCTTTACCATCAGAGCCACCAGGGGAGCCCACATTTCAAATATATCTGGAGGGAAAGTGGCTCTGTAAGTATCTTAAAAACTAGAAGAGAGAGTCACATTTCCACCACAGCCTACACCCTGGAGGGCGGTGGGGCTGTCCCAGCTTTGACCAATGACAGTTGCTCAATTCCTAACTTCAGTTTAGGTGTCAGACAGTATTGTTAGCTGGGATTATCTGAGAAAAATCTAGATGACAAATCCCTAAAAACTCTTTGAAAGTGTTAACTGCGGCTGATTTGTGTTTATATAAAACGTGGTTAGAATAATGTGGGACTCTAAACTGGCTTCAAAAATATCATCCAAGAGAAATAAAAACTCACCCCATGAAAACTCCATGAGGATATTCTATTTGGGGTTCTCATAACAATGGTAGCACACAATGCCCCCTCTTCAATTAATCTGTTTTCTGAACTTCTTCAGTTGCATGCACAGAATGTTCAAGAATGATAGTATAGGAGCCAAGCCAACAAAATGACTCAAACCAGCACGGTGATGGGTTCCATGCTTTCCCTGGTGGGGGCCAAGGGAAGGGCCCATGAAGATAAACGAGACCCAGTTCTGGCCTCCAGAGGCACGGAGTTTTGAGTTGAAGAGGGAAGACAGACTTCACTAATTAGACTCCAAGGCAGATTTCCATAGCTGCTACAGTAGAGATAGCATGTAATGAGGGCACAGGAGATGATAAGGAGAATTTACAAGACGGTTCCAAAATATTCCCTGGGACCAGCCTGGAACAAAGATGTGCTGAGCACCACCAATTCCATATGCCTGGCAGATGGAAACATCATCATCAACTGTGACAAATGCGCGACAGAGAGCCTCAGGGTATCAGGGCCAGCAGACTGTCCTGTGAGAAAGTGTAATACTTGTCCCCACAGCACCATGTGTGTGCGCGCGGGGTGGGGGGTGGGGGTCGGCAGCATTGAAAACAAGGAAGAAAACTCAAGATAAAAGCTCTCTATCCGTTGATACAACTGTAAGAATGAAATCAGTTGACTTGGAAAACAGCTCAGCATGAGGGTGGAAAAGAGGTCTTCAATGATCACAGCACAAAACCCCGAGTGAAGGCAAATTCCTGTTTGCTCATGAAAAAAAGTTTAAAAAATGATTAGATTAAGATTGGACGGCATCACTGACTCAACAGACATGAGTTTGAGCAGACTCCAGGAGATGGTAAAGGGTAGGGAAACCTGGCATGCTGCAGTTCATGGGGTCGCAAAGAGTCAGACACAACTAAGCGCATGAACAAGAAATTAAGGTGAAGAGGAGGAAGCCCAGTTAGAATCTTTCTTTCTCTTCCTTTCCTCTAAGAGTTCATGGTACCAGTCAAGCAAAGGATTTTTGCTTAAACCTACCTTCCTAATTAGGGTTTTATCTACTGTCCTCATGCCTACAGACCTACATAGATTTTTAAAATATTTATTTTTATAACAAAGCAAAAAGGGAAGGCACAAGGAGCAGGCGCTTTGAAGTCAGACAGATCTGAGTTCAAGTTTAGGGTTTGCCATGAACCAAAGGACTCTGAACATACACGGCCTCAGTGTCCTTGTCTGATCGATAGAGGGTCAGCACAATACCCGAAACATAACAGCTCACCAAATTGTGGTTTCCCTTTCCCTTTCTGGGAATGTGGCCTTTTCCAATTTTGGCTTTTGGAAGTGTATAAGAAGCATCATAAATGCATATTTATGAAGTTATGTTTCACCACAAAGTCTACATTTTAATCAAATAGCATTTATGACAAATATCTGAATAAAAGTTTTCTGGGTTGCCAGGTTTTTTTTTTTTCAGGAAAAGGAGGCAAGATTCCAATTTTGCATTATGCAAAGAAAAAATATTTTGAAATGATCGGTACTTAAAGGGGCAGCCTTTCCCTATCACTTTATCCCCACTTTCAGCCAGGTCAGCTACAGGCATGTGGAATGGGAAGGAGAGGTGGGCATTGCCAGGAAACAAAAATAATGAGACTGAGAAAGGTCAAAAAACAATCCTCAAATGCCTTCTTTAATCCAGCAGTTTGTGCTCATTCATTCACTGATTCATTCATTCAGGACTCCCAGCGGCCCTGCCGTGTGCCAGGCCCTGTGCTGATCAAGGAACTCAAGTGACAGAAGGAGATCTGTCACCAAACCAAATGTTATTTTTTCTTTTCTGCCTTCCTCTTTCTTCTCCTTTTACAGGAAAACTGTTAGCATTTTGGATTCTGCACAATTTTAGGAGTGCATGACATTTTCATGGTTTAACATTCACCCAAGGGGCTCCCCAGGATGTATTTGTCCTGAAGATTTCTAAAATCTTTGTTTAAAAATAAAAATGAATTTTTTTTGTTATGTAATTAGAAGATTTTAAATTCAAAAATCTTTACAGGGTTGAGTTCTTACTATACCTTTAATCTCCAAACCAGCAATCCAGGATTCATCTTCATACAAAAGGAAGCCTTCCGGCTGCATTTCTGAGCCTCTGTCCCTTCCCTCCCTCCAGCCAGATTCCCTGTGTGTGTTCTCACCACCTCTTATATCTATCCGTCCAGTGCAGCTGAATGGAGGGCTTTTTTTTCCCTAATTAAATCTGCTCCTGTCAGTCTCTGCTTGCCCTGAGGATAAAACCCCAATTTCGGACTGTGGTTTACGTGTCTGATTATCATCTTACATTCTGGCCCACCCTCTCCCTTAAGCTGACTCCCCTTCGCTCCCACAATCCTGAACTTATTGAGGTTTCTGGAACAGGCCAGTCTCTTGACTTTGGGCCTCTTTCTGCACAGGCCATGACCTCCGTGTGAAACTCTGTCCAGCCTGCCTCCCTCATGTGGTTCCTCCTCAGACTACCATACCAGTCTCACTCCAGTGTCACCGCATCTGGGGGACTTTCCCTCAATTCCTCCTTGGTTAAATATCCTTGCTTGAGGTTTCCACAGCAGCCTCCCCTGTCCTCCCCTTTTACATAGCCCAGGGAACTGCAGTCAGTATCCTGTAATAACCTATGATAGAAAAGAATATATATATATGTGTAACCAAATCACGTTGCTGTACATCTGAAACTAACACAATGTTGTAAATTAACTATATTTCAGTTAAAACTAAACTCAGTAATTAACATCTTCTGGCCTGCCTCCCCAACAGAACAAACTCCATGAAGACAGAAACCCTGCAGCTCAGCCAGATCTGCACTGGCCAGAGCAGTGTCCAGATTGAAGTGGGCACGGTTCTCACCTCCTAATTACTAGGTGTCTGCATTTTCATTTAATATATTTTTCTTTCCCATAAAAATATACAATGAAAAATTAGCAAACAGAAAAAACTCATTTAAAACCCAACAACCTATACATAGTACCTGTAAAGCAGTTGTTATATTTCTGTATCTCTGTTCTCTACTCACAGATGATGTACAGTACTGCTTTTTTTATGCCTGGTATGACATAAATATCAATCTCTGTATATATCTATTTAATATATGTATACATTTAATATATCTATACATCCAATCACCATGTAATACTTTGTCAAGTGAATATATTATAGTTTACTTGACTCTTCCCATGTGAGTTTATCTTTGGTTATTTCTGGCTTTTCACTATTAAAAATGCAGTAGTAAGCCTTCCTAAAAGGCTTTCATGTTTAGTTTTAGCCATGGCAATCAGAAAAGAAAAAGAAAAGGAATCAAAATTAGAAAAGAAGTAAACTGTCACTGTTTGCAGCTGACATGATAATAATACATGGAATATCTTAAAGATGCCACCAAAGAACTTCTAGAGCTCATCAATGACTTCAGTAAGATTGCAGAATACAAAATTAATACACAGAAATCTGTTTTATACTAACAGTTGAAGATCAGGAGGAGAAATTAAGGAAACAGTTCCATTTATTATCAAATCAGAAAGAATAAAATACCTAGGAATAAACCTACCTAAGGAGACAACAGACCTGTACTCTGAAAATTATAAGATGCTAATGAAAGAAACTGAAGATGAGACAAACAGATGGAAAGATATACCATGTTCTTGAATGGGAAGAATCAATATTGTCAAAATGACTATACCACCCAAAGCATTCTACACATTAAAAAGCAACCCCTATCAAATTACCAATGGCATTATTTTTTTCACAGAACTGTAACAAAGAATGTTAAAACTTGTATGGAAACACAAAAGACCCTGAATAGCTAAAGCAATGCTGAGAAAGAAAAATGGAGCTGGAGGAATCAGGCTCCCTGACTTCAAATTATACTCCAAAGCTAGACATCAAAGCAGAATGGCACTGGCACAAAAATAGAAATATAGATCAATGGGACAGGATAGAAAGCTCAGAAATAATTCTTGTACCTACAGCCAATAAATCTATGATAAATGAGGCAAGAACATACAACGGAGAAAAGTTTCTTTGGACAAATCATGGTGGAGAGTTCTGACAAAATGTGGTCCACTGGT